GATCCTGCCCCTCTGCCCCGCTCTGGGGAGACCCCCCTGCAGTGCTGGGGCAGCTCTGGAGTCCTCAGCACAGCAGAGACAGGGACCTGCTGCAGCGGGGCCAGTGGAGCCCCAGCAAGGACCTGAGGGGGGAACCTCTGAGCAACCTGCTCTAGTTGGGGATATCCCTGCTCCCTGCAGGGGGGTTGGACTTGATGACCTTGAAAGGTCTTTTCCCACCCAAACCATTCCACAATTGGCGTTTTCAGTAATGTAGTGACTTCTCACCTCAGCCTGGACATGATCAAGAACCAACCTCTTTTGCCTACACAGCACCACGTATAAGGACATTTCTGCTTCAGAAGGCTTCATCTAGCACCAGAGAAGAGATAGCTGGTGGGAGTGGACAGCAAGATAATATATTTATCAACCCAAGAGATGATGCTTTTAGCATCCTAGCACCCAAGTACAGTCTGTGAGCTTCATGCAGCAGCTTTACACACAGCCCAGCAGAAGAGAGAAGACAGGTTTGAAACCTCTATCATGCCAAGCATGAGATGCTAGAGTGAAGAAAAACAGTCAATGGTGAGACCAAGGACACTGTCCATAGGAAGAGAAGCTACTGAGAGGGCTAAGACTTCATGCCCACCCCTTTCTGGCACTGCTGGGAGAGGAGGTTGGCTGTTTCCTGAGCAAGGGAAAATATCTCCTGTGTAAGGAGCTGAATGACAGCTCTCTTACTTTGGACTGACAGCAGAGAGCTGAAGGACTCAACTATTGTTAACTCATGACTTTCTGGCCATGGTGAGCTCCCTGAAGCCAGGAGAGATGTACAACAAATAAATCTTCCTGGAATAGGCCTCTCTCTGCTATACACATAATCATTTCCAGTTCTATTTGTTCTGATCCCTCCCTGCAGCCATCTCACAAGTTTCCTTGAGGTGCTCTCTGACAGGACTCTGCAGAGAAGTGAATCTTACTGGAGATTCTAGAATTACAGACTGGTGTGGGTGGGAAGGGACCATTCCAGGTCACCCAGTCCAACCCCCCTGCAGGGAGCAGGGACATCTGCAACTAGAGCAGGTTGCTCAGAGCCCCGGCCAACCTCCCCTGGAATGGTTCCAGGGATGGGGCAGCGACCACCTCTCGGGGCAGCCTGGGACAGGGGCTCAGCACCCTCAGTGTCAAACATTTCTCCATTCTCTCCAGTCTCCATCTACCTCTTTGAGTTTCAAACCATCCCCTCCTTGTCCTGTCCCAACAGGCCCTGTGAAAAAGTCCCTCCCCAGCTTTCTGACAGGCTCCTGAAAGTCCTGTCAGGCCCCCAGAAGGTCTCCCCAGCTGGAGCCTTCTCCTCTGCAGGCTGCCCAAGCCCATCTCCCTCCTGCTGGGGCTCCAGCAGAGGCGG